TGCTCTCCTGGTGAACACCTACACATCCCCTCAGCCCTGACTCCAAAAGCCTGCCTTCTGAAGCGTGTCCCGCCCCCTCTCCATGACGGGCTCTGAAACTCTGGACATTCCTGGGTCTGGCCATGCCTCCATGACTGCATTTGCTACATGGCGCTGCAACTGTATTTCATGTATCTGTCTCCTGCTGGACTGCATTTCCACCTGTGTTGTGTGATCTATTCCTCTTATCAGAGCCTGGCACATCATGGGTGCTTTCTTTGCCAGTGTTTGCAGGATACATCAAGAATGATTCAGCACTTGCCATGATTTTTAGTTTAGATGGACTGTCCTTCTTCCTCTTTCTCACTCTATTATTTTCATGGTCCTTCCCACTTGGACTTCTGATGGTCTCCATGGTCACACTGCCCTGCCTGTGTTTTGGCTGTGGTGTGGGGAGTCAGGATCCCCACAGGAGGACCTGGCACAACCCCAGTGGGTGCAGGCAGTGGAAATGCCAAGTCATTCCTCAGACCACCACCAAGGCAGTTTCTAAATAAAATGCAAGCAGGGTGGAGGAACCATGGCTTGGGTGGGTGTATGAAGGGGTCCCACTTCACTGGGATCTTTATACAAATCTTTCCCAAACAAGCATTCTCCAAAAGCCATTCTCCATTCACAGGCAGCTGGACCTCAAGAATCCTTTGGGAGAACAAAAGACTCTGTAGTGAAATCTAGAGGCAGGTCTGTCCTGTCTAGAAACCCTAGACACTTCTAAATGAATTCTGAACCAACAGTTAGAAAACTGTGTCCCAGGCTGGTAAAGAATCTACCCACCAAAGAAGGAGACAAGGGTTCGATCCCTGATCCGGGAAGATCCCACATGCCATGGAGCAACGAAGCCTGAGCATCACAACTACTGAGCCCATGCTCTAGAGCCCAGGAGCCACAGATACTGAAGCCCTGCACCCTAGAGCCCATGTCTGCAAACAAGAGAAGCCACTGAAATGAGACACCCATGCACCACAAGGAAGAGTAGCCCCTGCTCACCACAACTAGAGAAAAGTGAATGCAGCAACAAAGACGCAGCACAGCCCAAAATAAAATAAATAAATACAATTTTGAAAAAAGAAAACTGTGTCCCAGACAGGGCCATAGGTGGGGTGATAGCCCAGGCCTGTGGGGTCAGCCAGCATGCCCACCCTCAGCAGGAAGATGGATACCGAGGGTGCTGCTGAAGGGAGAGAAACAATCTGAGGGTCCCCTGCAGTGTGGGGAGGTTTGGCAGATACACCCTCCCTCAATGCCAGCTGTCTGTCCCTGGGCTTCAGTTGGCTGAAGAGGTAACTGGCTCCTGGCTGCCCAGAGGCCTGTCCAAGGCTAGGGAATGCTGGTGGCTGAGGGTGGGGTCTGGAGGGGTACTTCTTGGAGAACATTAGGAGAAACTGGTTTCTCCTAACAGGAGTGAGTCTGACCTGTACCAAGCCACCCAAATTCCCAGAATGAGAAGCCGGTTCTATCCGAAGTCCCGCAGGGCCAGAGTGGAGGGCGTCATAAGCTGTGAAACTGCACCTACTCCAGGGGGCTCACTCTGGGCTCTGCTGAGCATGGGCGGGGCCAAGGCTGGGAAGCTGGCTGAGCTGCAGGACGCCCTTGTTCTCGGCCCTTTAGGCTTTATAGCAGAAAATCTGCTGCCCGATGGCCTCTGAAACAGTACCCACGACTCCTGCCTCATCACTGCATCCATCATGCACCAGCTTTTAATTTTCTACTCTCATCATCACACTGGTCTCCAGTAATGACTATCCATGCAAACACAGTGCTTCACTACTTGCTTAGTGAGATCTGCAGGCGAGCCTGATTTTCCACACCACACAGACACCGTGGGCCTCTGAACACAGGCCGATGTATCCAACCAATGGCTTGGCTGTCCTTGAGAATTCTGTTACATACTTTTGAAAATTCTCAGTACGGTTTTGAAAATTGAAAGGGTCTACTTCTGAGAACTCAGAGAATGGAATGCAGGGAGCTCATAGGACTTGGGTTTTTTGAGAGCTCATTCAGCGGGATGATCGGTCAGGCAGTTCTACAAATCTTCAGAAAAACCACTTCTAATGCCTTTCTGCCAAGCCAGCTATTTATAAATGCGTTCCAAATTGGAGTAGCTCTTGCTCGGTCAGATGATTAGTGAAGAGAAAAATGGGGCTTCCCTGGTGGCTCAGTGGTAAAGAATCTGCCTGCCAATACAGGAGATAAGGGTTCAATCTCTGATCCAGGAAGATTCCACATGCCGTGGAGCAGCTAAACCCAAGTGCCACATCTACTGAGCCTGTGCTCTAGAGCCTGGGGTCACAGGTACGGAAGCCCGTGCCCTAGAGTCCATGCTCTGCAACAAGAGAAGTCACCACAATGAGCAGCCTGCGCATCGCAGTCCCAGAGTAGCCTCCATTCACCACAACCAAAGAAAAGTCCGTGCAGCAATGAAGACCCAGTACAGACAAACATAATGAATAAATAAATTCAAAAGAGGGAAAATTCTTTAAAAAAAAAAAAAGAGAGAAAAGGGTGTGTACTTGGTTCTGAGACACTTTCAGAATCACAGTGAATTACATCTCCTGTTTCTGTCAATAAATAATTTTGCCCACGAGGGAGCAATCTTCTCTACCACTTTACTGATGTTCCTGTGAACAGCTCACAGCACATGCTCTGTGAGGAGAGCATCCTCCAGACATGGGGAAAAGGTGGAGTGGCTGGTGAGGTAAACAGTATGTCAGGGAGCAGATGGGAGCACGTGGGCAATGGGAACCTCATGCTAAGTTCAAACCGCGGTTGCAGTAGGTGCAAGACACTGGGGGCTCTTCTTCCACTGTTCCAGCAGTGCTCCAAGGCATGCGCACTTCGTGGAGCAGGAGTGGAAAACGGTGAGGGGTGGTGATGGCTGAGCAGGCAAGCCAGGAGGGGCACCTATTCCGTATTCAACATTTCCTGTGGTCCAGGGTTTCAGCCCACGTGATCCAAGAGGGTGGCAATGCAGGAAACCATCATCTGTATCACATCATGCTTTTGGAGCCTCCTGTGGGCTCAGATGTGTCACATGCCATGGGCCTTGCTGCCCCCATTTTCAAGCTATCCATGGAGAGACCATCCATCTGTCTGGCTGGCTGTCCCTCACATCCCCATGTAAGAGCAATGATTCAGCAACGCCCTCAATGTGGACCACATGCCGTCTCCTTGGGCAGTGACTCTCCTGAGCATCACGCACCCTCCTTCCCACGAGCGGTCACCCTCTCGTCCAGCCGCTCCGGACTCTTAGAAGCACTGAGGTGATTTTTTATCAGCATGAAACTTTTCCTGAATTCATGTGGAAAGAGTAAATGATGTTTTATAGCATGAACTTTTTTTCAGTCCATGAATATCAAATATTTACTGAACACATATTATACTCTAAGTATTGTGTATCGGAGTCCCTAGAGATAAGGGTAGCGAGCAGATAAAAGTTCTGTCCTTATACTGTGGGGGCCAGGAGAAAGATAAACTGGTCAAATACGGAAATAGATGGTGTGCCAGCTGGTGATGAGGGTGATGGTGGAAGGGTGGATGAGAGGTTCTGGGACACAGGTTGGTCAGGGAGGGCCTCTCTGAGGATATGATATTTGGGCAAATACAAGAAGGAGGTGAGGGCAGAGGTCATGTGACTCTCTGGGGAAGGGTGTGCTGGGTAGCGGAAGAACGACGCAAAATTCAGGAGGTGGGAGAGTGTCTTCTATGCTCTAGGACCAGCACAGAGGCAGGAAGACTGGGATAGAGAGAGGAGAAAGAGGGGGAGAGGTGAGAGAGGGGCAAGAGACAGGCTGTGAAGCTGGCTGAGGTGCTGGAAGAATTTGGGGCACAGGTGAGCTATCGGAGGGTTTTGAGCAGAGGAGTGACATGACCTGACTTACATTTTGGAAGCCCAGCTCTGCTGCTGGGGCAGAAACAGACAGCAGGGGGGTAGGACGGGAGAAGTGACCTAAGTGAAGAGGTCACTGTAATAAACCAGATGACAGATGACAGTGCCTTGGACCAGGGTGCTGATGGTAGAGGGGTCAAAAATTGTAACATTCTGATTTGGGGGGAAGGTAGAAACATCAGGTTTACTGATGGCTTAGATGTGAAGTGTGGGAAAAGGTGTTAAGGGTGACCCATGCCACTGGAAGGACTGAACAGCCATTTGCTGAGATGCAGAAGGTCATGGAGGGAAGCAGGTTTGGAGGGGTACCATTGAGAGTTCAGTTTAGGTTAAGACAGATTCCTGTTAGGCATCCAGGTAGGGATGGCCTGAAGGTAGCTAACTATCAAAGTCTGGGATTTGTGGGAGATACATGGGCTGGAGAAAAACAACTAATGTCATCAGCACAGACTGAATATAAAACCATGAGTCTTGGGGAGATTTATGAGACTGAGTGTAGGAAAAAAAAAGGCCCTTGGGCCCTGTAGGAATTGGGAAGATGAGGAGGAAGCCAGTGAGAAGCAAATGTGATGTCCTAGAAGCCAAGGAGTTGGGAGGAATGATCATTGTTGAGACAAAAATCATCTACAGTTGACTTGGGATGAAGCAGAATAGCATATTCTGCATATGAACTTGAGTTTCCACCTACATCTATGTCTTATGTATGAATCCTTCACCCTCCAGGCATCAGTGGCCCTATGAGAATCTTTATGAGTGCTGGTGAATCTTCCCCTTAGAAACACACATTCATATACATACAAGACTGAAAACAACTATGGAGGCTCCAGGAGCTGGCAAAGTCCATCCCAGAAGTCAGGTTCATAAATATCCCTTGGCCATTCCCAAAGAGGTTTTCTCATGGTATGAACCAAACCGTCTCAATGTTGAAGTTCAGAAATTGCAGGTTTCCCAGCTTTTCCAGGTATGTTTCCATAGGTTAGAATGAGTTAACCTTTCTGGGCTCTTGGGTGGAACACAAAATGTGAATGGGCTGGCTCAAGTCTCAAAGCAAGCGTGAAAACAAATGAGAACTCACCACCATCTCCTGCACGTGAAACATCTCTGCTCCACCAGGTGACAGTCGATTGGGGAAGGAGATGCTGACAGATGATCCAGGAAGGGTGCTTGGCCCAGTGTTATAGACCTGTGGGTGTGAGACACACACGGCATGTTTTAATAGAAATAGAGAGTTTCATTTCATGTCTACATTATATATTCTAAAATCCTTTGAAATGATACACAGAGATACTTGGGTTTAGGATCTAGAAGGTCAAGACTTGAAGTGAAATACCAAATTATGGGAGATTTCAATGACATAGAAATCTTTCTAATGTGCATTAAAAACCCACAAACTTTCAAGTTACCTTATTGCCCCCATTAGCATTTTCTTATCTTCTGCTGCTAACAAGTATACTTATTTTGACCTGGAAATTTACTCATAGACTGTTACACAGGTGGGAGTTTAGAAATAATCTAGATTAGTAGTTCTCAAATTTTTAACACATATTAGAATAATTAACTGGTCTTCTTAAAACCTAGACTGGAGCAAGGTCACATCCAGAGTTTCTGCAGTGGTAGGTCTGGTTAGGGCGGGGTGGGGGCTGAAGGGTTTGAATATCTTTTTTATTTTGGCCACGCCACATGGCATGTGGGATCTAAGTTCCCCAATCAGGGATCAAACCTGGGCCCCTGGCAGCTGGAAGCTCAGATTCCTAACTACTGGATGGCCAGGGAAGTCCTGGACTTGCCTTTCTAAAGTTCTCAGGGTTCAATCCCTGGTCAGGGAACTGGATCCCGCATGCAGCAACTAAGAGTTTGCCTGCCATAGTGAAGGTCGAAGAGCCTGCTACAACTGAGACCATTTACAGCCAAATAAATATTGTTTTGTTTTGTTTTGTTTTTTTTAAAAAGTTATCAGGAGACGCTGATATTGCTGGCCCAGAAAACATACTTTGAGAACCACTGACCTGGTCCAAGTCCATTCCTTTCATAGTTGGAGGTAACTGAGACTCTCAAAGTGGGTTATCCCCAAACCAAATGATCTAACTTACAGAAAGAGCTCTTTTTCACAACACGATCTAGCTGATTTGGTTTCTCCATAACTTTCATCTTACCACTTGCTGACACTGTTGGATGACATCTGTGCACATCTTTTCTGTCCCAGTATTTGGTCCTATAATCTTTACTGCTTTCATCCCCCACATAGTCCTCCCCATTTTTTGTCTCCAGCAGCCCATCTCTTGAGAACTGAGAGAAAAGGTGGCAGCCACTAAAAGATGCATGAGAGAAAGGAGATAGAACAGAGACTGACATGAAGCTCAAGGAAGTAGAAGATGAAGAAGAGTAAAAAAGATGGGCAGGTGTATACAGACAGACAGTAGATTAGTGGTTGCTAGGGCTGGGGCGTAGGAGGAATGAGGAGTGTGGCAGGAGGAAGAGTGGCTTCCCAAAGATGTCCCTGTCCTAATCCGTGGAAATTGTATGTTATATTACAAGGCCAGGGGGATTTCAGGTTGCCAAGAAGCTGACTTTAAAATCAAGAGATGATCTTGGATTATCCAGGTGGATGCAATGTAATGACAAGGGTCCTTATATAGAGAAGTGGGAGACAGAGTCAGAATCAGGGAAATGTACTGTCAAAAAGATGCAACCAGTCATTGCTGGCTTCGAAGATGAAGGGGGCCATGAATCAAAGAATGCAGCAGCCTCCGTAAGGAGGAGAATCATCACAGAAGAAACAAACAGATTATTCCCCAGAAAGGAACACAGCCCTGTTGATACCTTGCTTTTATAGACCAGTGAAACCCTTGCAGACTTATGTCTGCAAAACTGTAAGATAACATAAATTTGGCACAAAGTCTGTAGTAATTTGTTACAGCAGCAATAGAAGACTAATATAAAGAATGACTGCTAATGGGTATGGAGTTTCTTTTTGAGGGTGAAAAAAAGGTTCTAAAATTAGATTATGGTGAAAGTTGCACAATTCTGTATGAACACAGAATTGTGGAGAAAGTCATTGCATTGTACACTTTAAACAAGTGAACTCTAAGGTATATAAGTGGTAACTCGATAGAGATGTTAGTTTATTTTTAAAAAGATGGGTAGGGGCAAAAGAGAGGAGTGGCCTGGGGACTAGAGAGAGGTTTCAGGGCATCTCCGAACCTGAGGTGAGCAGGGCAGAGCCCAGCAATGTGTTAGACAAGTCAGCAGATCTTCCCACTTGGCAGAATATATAAGGCTCTAGCTCCATCCAGCTCTTCCCTAGAAAACTTGTCTTTGTTTTTTGGGTTTTCTTTTTTTCCTTTTCAATAGTGGGTTTTGCTTCAGAGAACAGACACAAAAAGCCATCGAGTGGATGAGTAGTTGCTGCCAACTCTTGATTCAAAAAGAACACAATTCACCCATAACGACAACCCTAAGGCACAAGAAAAGGAAGGACTATCCAACCACAATGGAAATCACTAATTTGAAGTGAAACGTGAGAGTACAGCATTGAAGGGAAAAACCTATTGACCTGTCTGGGAAATCCCAATTAAAGTATGAGTGAGGAAAAAGAAGTTGATTTTGTTTTGCATTAGTTCATCCACCAGAACCAGACAGATGGAGAGTTTATATTACCATACTTTTAACAAATGTCTTAGTGTTTGATCTCTGCAAACGTTCCTGTGTAACATCTGCATTATTTTTCACCATTATTTTTCAAATGAGGGAAATTATTGATTTGATTTTAAAAAAAAACAACTATTGATGGTCAATAAGTTTTTATGTCTGTGAAGAAAAAAACTCTGATGAAACTGTGAAACCAATTCTAAAACCAGCGTCTCTGCCTTTCTCCCATCAGCACTTGCAGCTGAATCTTTAAACAATGACATAGCTTGTTGAATATTAGCTTTGAAAAGACCCAGAAAAAAAATCTCTTTATATGGAAAGTCTCGTGCCTTTTTTCAGGAGAGATTTGCCAGAATAATGCTTCCCTGATGGTTCAGACAGTAAAGAATCTGCCTGCAATGAAGGAGAAATGGCTTTGATCCCTGGGTTGGGACGATCTCCTAGAGAAGGAAATGGCAACCCACTCCAGTATTCTTGCCTGGAGAATTCCACAGAAAGAGGCTACAGTCCATGGGGTCGCGAAGAGTTGGACACAACTGAACGACTAACACTTTCTATCCATTTTCCTGACCCTATTCTCCTCTACTATCTCCACCTTTTTCTGGATCACTATCACCATCAAACTGGTCAGTGGCTTTCCTACAGGATGGTCAGAATTATGATGATTATACCAGAAAACAAGTTGTCAGAGAGTTGTAAGGAAACTGTCAGCTTTTCTAACCTAAGAAGATTTCCTTTCCATCAGTGACACACACTATCCATCTTTCAGAGCCAGCCAAGTTCCTTAATCCTGAACAGAAAGCTACGTATTTCCTCAGGCAACTGATAATCAGGAGGAGAACCTTAGGGTCATGCCAGTCACTCACTCCCGGGGCCCTGATTCCCTAGCCTGTATCCTGTGTCAGGTCAGAAGAAAGCTCTTTGTCTCAATATGAAACTTTAAGCTCTCTGTAAAAGAGAGAGAAACATGATGTAACCACAGGCTCTCAGATTTCTTTCTTTTTAAGAGGAAGAAGAGAACATTTTGTATATTTTTTTAATATCTTTTCATATAACTTCTGTTCCTTTTTGCCTTCTCCTATCAACACTATTTGTAGAGACATGGATGGACCTAGAGACTGTCATACAGAATGAAGTAAGTCAGAAACAGAGAAACAAATATCAAATATTAAAGTGCATATATATATATATATATCCATATATATATGTATATATATATACATGGGATCTAGAAAAATGATATGGATGATCTTATTTGCAAAGCAGTAGACACACAGACATAGAGAGAAAATGTATGGATACCAAGGGGGAAAAGGCAGGGGGCTTGGGGGGTGGGAGGAACTGGGAGATTGGGATTGACATATATACACTATTGATGCTATGCATAAAAAAATAGCTAATAAAAACCAACTGTATAGCACAGGGAACTCTACTGAATGCTCTGTGGTGACCTAAATGAGAGGGAAATCCAAAGAAGAGGGGATATATGTATACATATAGCTGATTCACTTTGTTGTACAGTAAAAACAAATAGAACATTGTAAAGCAACTATAATAAAAAATAATAAAAATTTTATCTTATTGAAGTATAGTTATTTACAACGTTGTGTTAATTTCTGCAGATACCCTCTTCATTACATGATGTATGTCATTTGAACCCTTCTAAATAATTTACCTGACTGTATCTTTTATTGTAAGACACCTCCAAAACTATACGTAAACAATTGAAACTAAAGTGGCTTCCCTGATGGCTCAAGTGGTAACAATTGTACCTGCAATGCAGGAGACACAGGAGATGGGGATTCAATCCTTGGGGTTGGGAAGATACCCTGGTGGAGAAAATGGTAACCTACTCCAGTATTCTTGCCTGGAAAATCCCATGGACAGGGGAGCCGAGGTGGTTCCAGTCCATAGGGTCACCGGGTTCCAATCAATACAGTCGCAAAGAGTTGGACATGACTGAGCACACACGCATAAGTAAAATGAAATAACTTCATCTGGCCTTTATCTGTTTTCTGTCCAACTGCAAAAAGCAATAGAGAAAAAGAAACTAACTGTGAGAAGGAATTCGAAACCACAGAGGTCCTATTCCCAGCAATCACTCTAAAGGTCTTGAAAGCAAGGGTGACCCCATCTTCCCCTTTTCCCTTGTAAATCAAGCATAGGGTGTGACAGCAGGGGCTTAGCTGGCTGGGAGGCGCCTCCTCTCTGAGCTGGGATGTGTTATCCATCATGACTTTGGAGGTCTCTTGCCTGGCAGAGAGCTTTGGCGAGAGGGAGACCATTGTTTGCAAGAGACCACAAATATGTTACTGTCTCTCTCTGGACCCTCACCCTGTCATTATTTGTCATCCCCTTGGTCCACCTAGGAGAGGCCACAGGGAAAGAAAATAATAATTATTTGGCCATAGCAGTGGATGCCAGACCGAGAAACCATCTTCTCCATAGGGAAGGACGGAGGGAAGGCAGGAGAGAGCTCTGGGAGCTGGAGCTAGAGCTAGAAATTCGTGGGATGTGGATTACAGTACACTGGCTCCATCACTTCAGCCCCAGCTCCTGGCAGCTGCTGAGCTACACAGGGGTGTCCCAGGTAACACCCGCCTAATCTTGGCCCCAGCCCAGCCGCTCCCAGCTCTTCACCCTGCAGCATGTCCTCTCCTCTTGGGCCTACATTTCCCACATTTGTCAATTAAGGAGAATGTCTGGATGATGCTTGGTCCCCCTAGTTGTATGTTCAAAGACCCTCCTGTTGAACAGTGCTGGCCTTGGCGTCTGTTTTTAGAGAATGGATCAGCAAATGATGGCTCACACACCAGATCTGGTCCACCACCTGCTTTTGTACATCCTGTGAGCTAAGGTGGTTTTATGTTTTTAAATGTTTGGGGAAAAAACAGAAGATGAATATGTCGCAATATGTGAAAATGATGTGTGCTGTGCTGTGCTCAGTTGCCAGTCATGTCCGACTCTTTGTGACCCCATGGACGGTAGCCCACCAGGCTCCTCTGTCCATGGGGATTCTCCAGGCAAGAACGGAGTGGGTTGCCATGCCCTCCTCCAGGGGGTCTTCCTGAACCAGGGATCGGACCCAGGTCTCCTGTATTGTAGGCAGATTCTTTACCATCTGAGCAACCAAGGAAGCCCAATAATACTGCAGTGGGTTGCCATGCCCTCCTCCAAGGGATCTTCCCAACTCAGGGATTGAACCCAGGTTTCCCGCATTGCAGGCGGATTCTTGACTGTGCCACCGAAGAAGCCCAAGAATACTGGAGTGGGTAGCCTATCTCTTCTCCAGGGGATCTTCCTGACCCAGGAATCAAACCAGGGTCTCCTGCATTGCAGGCAGATTCTTTACCACCTGAGCTACCAGGGAAGCAATTTTATATCATGTGAAAATGATATGAAATTCAAATGTCAGTGTCCAATGCCACAGTTTTGTCCTGTGCATGGTTTTGGGCTGCTTGTGCACCACAGGAGCCTAGTTGTATAGCTGCTGTGGAGACTGGATGGCCTGCAAAGCTTAAATACTTACCCTCTGGCCCTTTGCAGAAAAAGTTTTTCCACCCTTGGTTTAGAGAAGGACAATGTCCTTCACAGTGTCCACAGTCCATACCGAGTGTATCTGCTGGACACAGTGCTTATGTGATAATGAGAGCCAGCCCCGCTCTTTGGGGAGCAGCCTGTCTCCCCGCCAGGGGGAGTTCCCTTCACTCACACTGCCGTGCTCCTGTAAAACCCCACTTTGGAAGGCTGCTCCTTTGTGGGAGGTGTGGGTGCCTGGCTAAGTAAGCAAGGAGAAGCCCAGGAGTAACTGTGCGTGTGTATGCTCAGTCACTTAAATCATGTCCGACTCTGCGACCGCATGGATGGCAGCCCACCAGGCTCCTCTGTCCACAGGTTCTCCAGGCAAGAGTACTGGAGTGGGTTGCCATGCCATCCTGCAGGGGGGTCTTCCTGACATAGGGATTGAACTCATGTCCCCTGCGTCTTCTGCATCACAGGTGGATTTTTTACCGCTGTGCCACTGGGGAAGCCCCCAGGATTAAGAGGACATGACAAATCCTCGAGGCTGCCCTGCCCACAGTGTGAAGAATGATAAGAGAACTGAAAGGGGTCCTCTGTGGACCATTTGGGTGGGGATGCGTGCCTGGTCCAAAGGTCTGTTGGGGAAGGCCGCATTCATCGTGCAGTTTTCCCTCCAAATATTGAAAAGCAGAGGGGTCTACACAGCAGAGTACCAGGAAGCAAAGGGATTATTTCTGTGTGTGGTTACAGAAAACACAAACACACACACACACACATCCAGGCTGAGAAGAGTTTCTCTTAGAAAGAGCCTGGCCCTTTGGTTGCTTTTCATAGAAGGCACGGTACCCAGTGATAGAGAAGGTCTCCAAGGGTGGGTACCTGAAGGGTGACGTTGAGAGGTTGGAAATGACACTCCAGGTCATCCAGCTGAATGAAGTTGGATGCGTCCACAGACTCGCCATACACAAAGGAGGTTGGAGACATGATTCTGAAAGAGGAAAGCATGAAATCTGTCATTCCAATGCAGGGTCACCACTATCCTAGGAGCTCAAACATCTGTCTCTGTTGAATCTAGAGCTCAAACATCTGTCTCTACTGTATCTATAGCTAAAACATCTGTCTCTATTGGATCTAGAACCTGGCTCCCCTCAGGGTCCCGCATCAAATGCTTTGCTCTGGAACTGCTCCTTCTCTCTCTTGTAACTGGACACAGCCAGACTTGTGCTTTCCAGGCAGACATTGCCAGCAATGTCTGGTCATCTTAGGTCAAATCAGTAAGTTATATATACAGTGTACTAGGAGTACACTTCTAAAACGAGGAAGAAGACCATGGTAACTTTGATTTCAGTTTTTTAAACTGGGTTATAAAATTACACATGTTCTATTTTGTCATTTGAAAAACATTCTGTGGACTGAAAAAGATTATGACAATATAAATGAATTATATGTTTGGCATTCTAAGCCCCACTCTATAACAAATTAAAAAATAAAGATTTTCAGACTACCAAGATTACTAGAAATTAGGTATTAAAAATTGAGCCCTTAAACTAGCAGCCTTTTTCTTTAGATTTCAAACAGTGGCTGTGTAAGATGTGATGAAGAATTCCAGCTCAGTGTCAATAAACCCCAGGCTTGAGGCTGCCCTGCCCACAGTGTGAAGAATGATAAGAGAACTGAAAGGGGTCCTCTGTGGACCATTTGGGTGGGGATGCGTGCCTGGTCCAAAGGTCTGTTGGGGAAGGCCGCATTCATCGTGCAGTTTTCCCTCCAAATATTGAAAAGCAGAGGGGTCTACACAGCAGAGTACCAGGAAGCAAAGGGATTATTTCTGTGTGTGGTTACAGAAAACACAAACACACACACACACACATCCAGGCTGAGAAGAGTTTCTCTTAGAAAGAGCCTGGCCCTTTGGTTGCTTTTCATAGAAGGCACGGTACCCAGTGATAGAGAAGGTCTCCAAGGGTGGGTACCTGAAGGGTGACGTTGAGAGGTTGGAAATGACACTCCAGGTCATCCAGCTGAATGAAGTTGGATGCGTCCACAGACTCGCCATACACAAAGGAGGTTGGAGACATGATTCTGAAAGAGGAAAGCATGAAATCTGTCATTCCAATGCAGGGTCACCACTATCCTAGGAGCTCAAACATCTGTCTCTGTTGAATCTAGAGCTCAAACATCTGTCTCTACTGTATCTATAGCTAAAACATCTGTCTCTATTGGATCTAGAACCTGGCTCCCCTCAGGGTCCCGCATCAAATGCTTTGCTCTGGAACTGCTCCTTCTCTCTCTTGTAACTGGACACAGCCAGACTTGTGCTTTCCAGGCAGACATTGCCAGCAATGTCTGGTCATCTTAGGTCAAATCAGTAAGTTATATATACAGTGTACTAGGAGTACACTTCTAAAACGAGGAAGAAGACCATGGTAACTTTGATTTCAGTTTTTTAAACTGGGTTATAAAATTACACATGTTCTATTTTGTCATTTGAAAAACATTCTGTGGACTGAAAAAGATTATGACAATATAAATGAATTATATGTTTGGCATTCTAAGCCCCACTCTATAACAAATTAAAAAATAAAGATTTTCAGACTACCAAGATTACTAGAAATTAGGTATTAAAAATTGAGCCCTTAAACTAGCAGCCTTTTTCTTTAGATTTCAAACAGTGGCTGTGTAAGATGTGATGAAGAATTCCAGCTCAGTGTCAATAAACCCCAGGCTTATTTAAATTCCTGGAAAAATAATGGATTCTAGATGAGATTCTAGAAGCTGCTCACTTGCCTAAACACAATATTGTAAGATTTTTGGAACCAAGTCTAAATAGATAGCAATTAATCTATTTTCAGCTGAAGTGCATTGGTTTAGAAATGTAGTGAGCTGCCACCCAGGTCAAGAGTGGGTTCATTTAAATGAGTGCCGTTTTATGTTCCTGGAAAGATCAGAGGTTGACTCATTTGTTTAACTGAGGGCTTCGTTGGGGGCTGTTAACACCTCACAATGAGGCCTCCAGGGCCTGACAACAGGATCAAGGGAGCCCTGTTTTCTCTTTCATCCCCTAGGACAGGGCTTGGTCCATGGACATTCTCACTGTGTGTGTCTGAGGAGATAGTAAATAAACTACACGGTTAAAAATAGAGCCACGAACAGAGGCAAATCTGTGTTAATTTGCAAATATATTCCACCAATGCCTCATGTCTAAAGAACTTGATGAAAAATGCCAAGAGGCAGGAACGCCCACCGGAGACTCATTCCTGACACCCAGCAGAGCAGTGGAGCTTTGCAGGCATGGCTCCTTCTGCGGCGTATTAACTTTTCTACTTGCAGCTAAGGCCAGGACCCAGGAGCACTTGAATACTGAAAAATGAGAGACTTTGAACCTCTAGAAAGTTCAGCTTGCCTGTGGGGCAAAGGTTCAAGAGGTCTTCATTTGATCTAAACGAATTGTGCAAATCCTTTTTCCTCTATCGTGCTCTGTTTCTGAAGCCGGAAACAGGAACTGACTTCTCATTTTTCCAGGCCTGTGTTTTAGCTGAAAGCCGCCCAGAGTTGTGTTGGGTCCCTGCTGCCTGCAGCCCTTATTTCCAACAATGCCAGCGGCACTGAGCGGTTGTGGACTTCAGCCAGACAGTGTGCCCACTGTGACTGGCCCTGCCCACTGGCTCTGCCAGGAGGATCGGGAACATGCAAAGCCAAAGCTGACTAGAAGCTACTCAGAAAGCAGGCCCGCCTTCCCTGGGACGCATTGGCTGTAACCTCTGGCCCAGCAGCCTTTGGTTGAGATCTTAATCCCAGGAATGGAGCTGCCTGCTACCTTGTGGCACTCTGGAGCAGTGGGCGCTGGGAAGAGATGCATGTAAAGGTGGACAGAATGTTCGAAGGAATTATGCAGCTTACACCTGTCATCACACTTCTTGTATAACCTACCAAGTGTGTGGGCAGCTGGGAAAGAGGAGAAAGCAGGAAGGGAGGAGGGCATGAGTCCCTGCAGCTGAAGCTTCATCCTGCATTTCCAAGGCAGGCAGAAGTGGAAGTGGCAGGGCCGCCGGCTCCTGGCTATACAAGCAAACACAAGAGAAGCACAGAGTTCCGCTCCAGGCAGCACTGGCTACTCACCCTGTGATGGACGTGTCCACCTCGTGCATCAGTGGCACCGTCAGTGTGAGGACGTTGTTGTGAAGGGACTCTGAGCGCTCCACGTTGCCGCTGTGCAAGGAGAGAGGACGGGATGCCAGTCAGCACAGCCTGCCCGTGATGCACCTCTCCCCTCCCAGGGAGTGACCGCTCTCTGTTCTGCACCTTTTTACCCTCAACTCTGTTTCTGGCCCCTGTATGGCATCACAGTGGGCACTCTATGGTTTCAGCTGTGTTCCCCACCCCATAAAGATGTGAGGGCAAGTAGTGCATGGGGCAGGTGACCCCAGGAGACAGCAGTGGGGAGATAGGAAGGCAGGCAGGCAAGCAGGGCACGTGATCCAGATCAGCTGGGCTCCATCAGACCAGGGAACTCCAGGAGGCAGCATGGAGTACCCACCCTCATCTTCCAACTGAGGCCATGGGAGCTGATCGATGACTCCTGAGACCTGCTGGGGGGTGGGGGTGGGGGATTAATTCCCTGGCATGTGCCCTATGTGCACAGTTAGTGAGGTCTGGCCAGACAAAGCCTCAGGCAGAAGGATAGGTGCTGGGAATGGGAACTGTCCAGGGTGCGTGGTAGAGGTGAGCTCTGAGAGGTTATGGGTGGGCACCAAGAGCGTGTGCTGCTTCTGCAGGGCTTATTCCATGAAAAATGGACAACCAAGTTTAGGGCACTGTAGCTGGGAAGAGGTTTGCTTGCATTTAGCAGCTACTTCCCATCTAACGGCATCATGCATCATCCACGGACAACCAAGCCCAGGAGAGAGGCCCTGGGTAGCACCATCTCTATAAATGTCACGGGGGCTCCTGCTATAGGACTTCTGGCTCCAGTAGGTTCACATACAGGCCTCCTCCTTGGGGTGAGGAAACACAGAAGGGGGGAGGCTTGCAGGGTCATTCTGGAAAGGTGACCACAAGGTGAGTGATGGTGTTGAGGGCTACCATGTGCCAGGCACACCCCCTGGCATGACGGAGCTGGGTTTTCAGAGTAACCCCAGAGGGAGGAACTCACCCACCGCTGATGGGTAAGGAGCAGCTCAGACAGATTAGGTAACTTGTCCCAAGGACCCAGAGCAACTGGGTTAGTCTCCAAAACCAGTGCTTTTCCACTGTGATGCCTTTTCCTGATGCCAGGTTTGGGGGTTTGGGGGAGGGGAGAAGAGGACAAAAGAGAAGACCCAGTTTCCCTTCACAGCTTTATGAGATTTCAAATATGAACTGTGATTATTATTGCAGAAGAGCAATCGCCTGGGAAAAAAGCACGGCTATTGGGAACATGGTGCTGAACCTGGAACCTCACTTGGTTCTGCCACACAGAATGAACACGGGGTCCCAGCTGAAAGCTAAGTTCACCCTCCAGGGGTGGAAGGAAGGACCCGCTGCTGAAGTTTGGACACAGCTCATCCAGACCACTTCTCACCACATCATCCCCCAAACTTATGCAGAATTCCTCTCCCCACCAGCAAGTGCTGAATGCAACTGTTTTTCAACAGGCTCACAGCCCCTCTCCCCCTTTCTCCTATTGTTCTGAAACAATGGTGCTCTGTGACTCTGACCCCTGACTTCTCTTCTGTCTTCCGCAGATGAGGTGACATCCATCACGGTTTGCAGAAGCAGCAGGATCAGGTGCCCATCCAGCCTCACTCCCCTGCCTTTCCTTTCCCGGGGCACAATGAATGCTGTGCAATCTTCGCACAGGAAAGACCAGAGTTGACTCCTGAATGGATGGGGGGATGGCAACACCTGGGCCTGCTCCCTGCCCTCACCCATCGTCCTGCCAAGTCTGAGTCATCAGTTCCTGATGGAAGCGCCACCCTGTGCCCTGCCATTTGTCCAGCCACCTGTGGCTGCTGGCAGCTCTGGCCCAACAGTCTCATCTGTCATCGGGGGACCGCTTCAGACTGAGTGAGGCTGCAAAGTTGAGATAAAGAGGCTGAACATCAAAAGGCCCCCAGTTACTCTGCAAGCTCGTGACTAAGGATGCTTCTCAAGGTCTGCAGAGCCAGGCTGCCAGACAGAAGCTCTTGAGAAACTGTTTAGTCTCAACTTTCTGTCCTAAATCCACAAATAGGCCAGAGAGCTTCAAAGAAAAGGGCAATTGGTATTTTGACTGTGGCTTTCAAGATAAGGAGCTTTAAGGATCGTTCCATCGCAGCAGGGAGTCAGGTGCTGTGGGTGCCCTCTGGGACTGTAAGATCAGATTTTCACCAAAGTCTGGAGAGTAACTGGTGCCTGAGACATTCAGCTGCAGGTTTAATAGGCAATATAGTTTCTTTAACAACTGTAATTCAAATAATTTGAAGATTCTGATTATTTAATTACTTAAGCTACCAATACTAGGTGTTCAGTAATGCTATAGAGAAATATTAATGTACATAAAAGGATGTTCTTGAATTTGTAAATTATAAGGGTTTTCTTACGTACCCAGCACTGCATCTGATAAATAATAGGTGCTTAATAGATGTGTGTTGAGTGAAACTATGCCCAGTGTAGAGTAAGGGACTACACAGAGTAATCAGTTGGTGAGACTTTAAAAAAAAATTCAATGCCCAGATCTCATCCCAGACAAATTAGATGAGGTTCCCTGTAGGATGGACCAGGCATTGGAAGTTTTTAAGGCTCCCAGATGATGCCAGTGGGCACTGAAGATTAGAGCACCACTGGTCTATGGACACAAGACGAGGAGATGAAATTTTCACCGTGGTGTTGTTTGCATCCCTCCTTTGACACCTTAGATTAGCCCTGAGTGGGGCTGGGAGGTAGGTGGAGTTTCCTCTTTTTGACAAGGAAAGTCTCTTTCATGTCATATTTCCTGCCCAAATGTTCCTTCTCAAGAATATCAGCTGCCTGAGCTGTTGAGAGACCCAGACAGCACATTGTAGAGAGTTTTCTGTGGATCCCAGAAACAGCAGGAAAATGACAATTTTCAGGTTTGAATAGGCATCTGCTCCCCTTTATTAAATCCATCGTGTATTCTCTCACTCTGGGCAAGCTGCTGCACTGTATCACTCCCTTCCTCCAAAACTATCAGTGTCTCCCCACTGCCTGGGGAAAGCAGTTGAGACTTCCTGGGCACTTTGTGGCCCAGCCCAATCTCCTCTTTCAGCCCCACCTCCCTTTTACTGTCCAGGTACATTCTCCGCCCTTCCTCTGAGATGGTCAGGAATCTCCACCACATGCCAATGCCCACCTGCCACATGGGTATGACAGAGCAGGCTGTGCCATGCACATCCTCACCTGGGCTTCTTCAGCCTGAAAACAGACTCCTCTGTTCAAATGCCACCACCCCAGTGAAGCCTCTCTGGATTCTAGCAATAGGAACAAAGTCTACCTTCTCTATGCTTTGCATGTATCTCTGTTAGATCAAAACCATGAATGGTGTGATCATGAAAATAGTGTGAATAAAAAATAATCATGTCTTGCATAATTTCAAAGCTTGCAAGCCCAGCCAATTGTAATTAGAAATGCTACATTACTCCTGTGGCAGTACCACCCTGACAAACTGCACTGGAAAGTTGTGCAGGTTTTGGGTGATTGCTGGGCTATATTTTAACATCCACTTTGGTTCTCATTTCTACCTGCTTTGCATAGCCTATTGCAATATATAGAATATAATTAGCATTTGTTCAGTAAGTCCCACTAGTGCTGAACTAAAGGCCAGAAAGTCATCACCTCTGGAGTGAATGCTGGGTATGACAATACACGGTAAAGAGGGTCAAACAACCACTGTGATGTGCTGCGCTCTCAGTTTTAGAAGAAAGAACACTCTCTAAAATATTAAAGAAAACGCACCCCCTCCCAAAATTGGGAAAGTGGCATTAAAAGCAAAAATATGCTAGGGTAGTAGCAGATTGAGGGGCTCTGAAAATGTATGCTTCACAGCTGTTCCAAAGGGAACATTAATCCTAATTCTATGAGTTTTAAGTAACATTGAGACTAGAAAGGCCTCCAGCGAAAAAATAAAACAAAGCCCTACCAGTGCCTCTGCTGTCTACTGTTGGCTTATACTGTATTTTTTGGGGCCTGACCCAAGCTTCCCAAATGCAGAGAGACTTCAGGCTTTGGGGGCAAGGCCATTAATAGTAAGAGGCAAGATAGAACTGTGGGTGACGTTGAAAGATTCAGCACTCGGGAAGAATCTTAGTCTAATCGTTGGGTAATTGATGTTTTAGTGAAAATTCAAGAACCACTCATGCTGGGGTGAGTATGACAGGGTGTTAAAGTTCAAGTTTTGGCTGAGGTACAACAGACGCCAAAATTCAGAGGAAAGAACTAACCCAGGATTTACTATGTCTGGTGGCAAAAATCCAAGCTGTAATATCACGGATGTAACAGAGTTGGGAAAGGAGGATTCATGGAGACATGTTTTGGAGAAAACGGTCCACAGTCAGGGGAGAGTGACTGCCTTTTAAGTCAAGTTTTAGGGACCCTGTTCAGGTCAGATGCAGGCCTCAGAAATGAAAGGGGAAGAGGCTGCTGGCTCTCCCCTCCTGACCCCACAAGGATCACCTGTCTTTCTAGAGGCTGTCAGGGGTGAGACTCCTGAGTGGGATCTGAATATGAGAGTCAGTGTGAGGTTACCTTGGGTCCTGGCCCTGGGCACAGTCTCGGCAGCAGGAGCTGAAGGCCTCTCCAGCTGCCTAGAGGCTGCGGTTGGAGGATGTGATGAGGGGGGATGCACAGGTGAGCATCCCCGGTTGGGGGGTGGGCAGGGGGAGGGTCTCCAAAGGAGAAGAGTCAACTCCAGACACCCAGACTGACTGCTCCCAGCATTGCCTGTGTAGTAAAGCCTTTTCTGATTCCCTTTGACCTCTCACAACCCCGGCTGTGAGCCTGGAGGGCTCTCAGGAAAAGGAGGAGGGCCAGTGGAAGCACCACTGGAGGAAAGCTAGACAACCCACAGAAAGGCTACCCTCCTCCAGCCTTGCCTTGGTGGAGGGTAGGAAGCCTTAACTTCCAATCAAGTTTTGATTACTTCATGGGACAAGACACTCTGATAATGGGTTAATGAGTTATTTTGAGGCTTGAAGTGATTGTAGGACTTTGCATTAAACAAGAGTGAGCTGAGAACACAGAGGGCTGTCCTAGACTGTCTCCAAGAACCAGAAATGAACAACCCTTGCCAAGTGGGCTTAAAGAGAGTAAGGATGAAAATGAAGTTGCTTTATGCTTGCCAGCAAGTGCACCGTACTTGATGGATGAATCATAATGCTGCCGTCTCCCTCTGAAATTTATGTTCATTTGTTCATGATCCAACCCCTGCAGCCAGCACACTGCTCCCCAAGAGCAGGGATTTTACCAACTTTGGTCCCTGCTGTATCTCCCCTTGTCTGACACAGTGGCTGGTTGCAGTAAGTGCTCAAAGGTTTTGTAGAATGAGTGAGGGGCGGTGCCTGCTCTGGGCTATTCTGCATCTGCCTCCATCTCTGGACCAACCCCGTCTTGATGTGGTTTGAAATGGAAGACTCTCTCTCACTCATCCCTGCTCCCTTCTCAGCTCCCACTTGGTGCTTTAAACGTGATGGACATGCACAGGGTTGAGAGGAGTGGTCCAGAGCTGGACTCCTTGCTTATTAACCAGGCACGGCATATGGGGGTCAGATGCCCAGCTGAGCTGGTGCCCGTTATCCTGCATGATGGGCTCACATCTAAAGAGTCTGGGAGATGACCTTCTCTCTTAAGTCAGAATGTGGGACCAGAATGGGCTCGAGGGTGCTGTCCTCCTCGGAGGAAGGCTTGGGTTGAGCACCTTCATTTCAGAGATGACCATGTGGTTGGGGGAGGGGCCTTAGTTTGACAAAGCTCAGCTCATTGCCTCACTCAGCACCCCAGATCCTGTGGGCCTCCAGGCCCGGCTGCATGCTAACCTGTGGCCGCGTGACTGCCTTGGCCTGGCTGACTTGTAGCCGCTGGTTCTGTGGTCTGCTCACCAGTGTCTGGCCTCCCTGAGTCATGAGATTCCTGGTTTTGTTATCTCACCACCTTTCTTTTCTGTGCATTTTGCCTGACCTTGCCCTTCTGAGTGTTTGGTTCAGATTTCCAGACCACTTCTGGGATGGACTTAGGCCTCTTGGCATGACATTTTGGCTTGAAGATTAAGGCAACTAGAGATAAAACATGATAATTGAATGCCTGATCCTTAATCAGACTCTGGACCAGTATAATAATGGCTACACAGTCATTCTTGGGACAATTAGAAAGCGGGCTAGAGATTAGATAAGAGCATTGCATCAGAGTTATATTTCCTGAATTTAATAACTATACCAGGGTTATTTAAGAGAATGGCCTCATTCTTAGGATAGGAAATACATGTGAAAGTATTCATGGGTAAAGAGGCATGATGTCCGCAACTTACTTTCAGATGATTAAGGGGAAGAAAAACTATACACAGAAAGATAATAACAAAAGGGGCAGAGTGTCAAGCTTGAGTGAATCTGTAGAAAGGGTGTTCGGGAATTCCTTGTACTATCCTTCACAACATTTAAGTTTAAAATCATTTCCAATTAAAATTCAAGTAAAAAGGTTGCCTATCCAAACTATACAGTCAAAGCTTGTGTCTCTCTATTCACCCACCTAAATACCTCTCCTTCCATCCCAGTCAAGCCCTACTGAGACGGTAGGTACTTCGAGGCAAGTGTGGATTCTGGCTTGTGTGGGCAGTTTATTAGCCTAAAGTCCCCCCCAGGCACCCTTGGCCACACTGGTGTGTGTGAGAGAGAGGCAGGAGCGCAGTCCTGAGGGAAGACATCACTAATGCACATCCCTGACTATCTGTCCACTTGGTACCCAGAACAAGCTCCCTCTTGAGGACCGTCTTTTGGGGACCTCCACCAACAGGCTTGGCCAGGACCTCAGGCTGCAGATGCCCTGTCCCTGCCCCAAGGGATGCTAGCACATGCTGACCACATACCATGAGAAGTGACTGACCACAGCGGACCCACAGACATCTGTGAATGGTTCCAAACACATGAGCTTGGGCTGGAATCCTGACCTCTCTGGGCCAGTCTCTCCTCAGTTATAAAATCATTACCTCTGACTGGATGATCCCCAGTTTTTCCCAGCTCTGTCTGACCTGGTGTCTGCACAAGCAGAAGGACCATCCCTAAGAGACCCAATTCCATGCAGTGATTTGGGGCGTTATCACTGAGCTGTTCCTTCCTCCTTGGAGTTTCAGGCATCATCATCAAAGCATGACCAGGGCATGACCTTTTCTGGTCCCATAAATCTCTCATCTTGGAAAAAAAATTTAAATCCCTCTTACCTCTGAGCAGTAACGATGAAGCTAAGAACTTCCTCTTCCCCAGACAGGTGGCTTGTATCAAAGATCACGCTGAATTCATACTATGGGAAAAGAAAGTGACATTTGGCGCTAGCCAGCATTCCAAACTTAAATGCTACAGTCTTCTGCAGTTTATGACCTCTGGATGCTCATTTGCACGACAAACTTTATGGTTTATGCATCTCTTTCTGATGGTCAGGCCAAAGATACAACTTCAGCAATAAAAACCAGCCCAGAGCCCACTCTGGCGAGAGGCATGCTGTCCTTTTCAGCAACTGAGGTTCTCGTTAGGAAGCAATATGCTTGAACTCTTAAACCAGGACTTCCTAAACTTCACTCACACACCATCATCCCAATTTTTGCCACATCTGCTTATCATATCACCTGTGATAAGTACTTTGTATTTTTATTGCCTCACTCTTTCTATTTAAAGACTATTTTAAAGAGAAGAATTTATATCACTATCACAGATGGGAATCCGGGATCACTTGCCATAAAGAGGAGGTCACCATAAAAAGAAATAATGAAAACAAAAAGATGTTGAATTCTGTTGCCTGCTGAAGGCTCTGGGCCTAATGTCTACTCTATTTTGATAAAAGGGAGATAAACAAGTAATAGAGACATTGTAGCGCTACTGGAGGTTAGGATTGAAAGAGTGTTGAAAGGGCAGTAGCTTTCTCATTGTCAGTCAATGCTATTTAGCGCTGTGTCCACGTATCACCTAAAACCATCTCAGGTGTTGCCAGTGGTGACCATCCTCTGATTTGGGGAACACCTTCTCAAGCAAATGGTCTTCACTGTATACATATCGGGCAGGTGTGGGAATGGGAGAGGACCGTTTGGGTAGAGTTTATAGAGCAAGGCTCCACCACAAATTGACTGTGTGATCTTGGCCAGATACTTGATCTCTGCATTTCAATAAAAAAAAGAGGGTGGACAAAATGATCCTTAAATTCCATCAAGTTTTGGGAGTCTATGACTTATGTAATAGCTAAATATTTGGGTTTTTTTATGAAGAATTCTAGGCTATGGTCTAAATTTGCAACACTAGATTCTACTGAACTGACTGCTACCTGAAAGTAATGAATGGTGGACCATCCACTAGAGTGGACACTGGACATCCCTTTCTAGACTTTCTGTTGTGGTGAGACCTGTCAGCTTACAGTGAGGGTGGGGAATGGAGACAGAACAGGAAACAGAGCTGGAAAACACGCATGATGGGAAAGTCAGGGGTCTTGTCTCAGCAAAGAGTTTGACCCAGTGGGAGATCTGAGTTAAACACTCTAAAGATCAAAGTGAGGTGAAAAGCAAGATTTGGGCATGAGGCCAAAATGAGAGCCAGCGGCCTGTGAGAACAGAAAGTCAGGAACTAGGCAGGCTGCTCGCGAGAGACTGAAATATATGGCCAGCAAAGTAAGCAGATAATGTGGTCATGAGGCTTAGCAGATGGTCGGAAGTCAGACAACTCACAGGTCTAAGGGACAGGGAAGGACAAGCCAGGCTGTGGATAGAGGGAGCCCTGTCCCTGCTGGGTTGCTTCTTGGGCTTTCTCCAAGGACTCATCCCCAGACCCCCTGCCTCCAGGTTCAGCCTTGCTACAGGTGTTCACTTCTGTATGTGGGAGGAAGGTAGTGACATTACCAAGTTGGAAAAAAAATCCAACGTTCAACATCCATTCTTCTGTTGGCTCAATGACTATTTTGAGAGCTAATGAATTCTAACGAAATTTAGGTCCCAGAAGTCAAGAATGCTTTATTTTTGTTGTATTCATTTATTCACCTTTTTTTTTTTCCCCATGGGAAGTGATTGATCCTGGATCCATCTATGATATTGTTATTGTTTAGTGGCTAAGTTGTGTCCAACTCTTTTGAGACCCCACAGACTGTAGCCCACCAGGCTCTTTTATCCATGGAATTCTCCAGGAAAGAATACTGGAGTGGTTTGCCATTTCCTTCTCCAGGGGATCTTCCCAACCCAGGGATCAAATCCACATATCCTGTGTCTCCTGCATGGGCAGGCAGATTCTTTACCACTGAGCTACCAGGGAAGCATCTGCGATATCCTTTCAAAGTATCTTTAAAACTAGCAAGATGCATCTTAGGTTTGGGACGGAGGCTGGATTTTACAGCAATATGGCTACTTTTAAAGTGTTTCAATTGAGTCTATTTCCTGTTGCTCAAAAGATCTCAATTAAATTTGGGGGGGGGGCATATATTTTACTACAGACAAGGGTGCCTAGCGCTCAGTGTCCTTCTCCTACATCCTCACCCTACCTGGGATCTCATGGGACTCGGCCCAAATTCTGCCAGCTTTTTCTAAGCCGCCTCTTGAGGTTTCCCTTCTCCTGGGATGAATGTGAACAGAATGAGGGTCAGAGCCAGAAAAGGGCTGAGGAATCACAGAGATAACAACCACTGTAGATTGGAGTGGGTACATTCAATAAGACTGAGGGGTTCAAGAGATTTGCTAAGAAATGAGCAAACCTTCCTACAAGAACATTCTAACAACTGGTTTGTAAAACAGCTAGTATACATTGGGAACAAAAGGCCTTAGAGATTAAAATGACCCAATTTCCTGATATAGGCAGGAGACAAGGATTAAACTTTCTTTTTTAAGTGGAGGAAAAAGGTAGACAAAGGAACATAAAATTTCCTTCAAATCATAGCAAAGAAAACAGTCTCCATTTTAAAACACAGCCCCGCTTGGTCTTTTAGGGTCTAGTTTTGCCTCCAAAAATCACATCTTCTACATGTTTGCATCTTTTTAAAATGATGCCACATACTAGAATGCTCCATGAATCTCCAAATCAGCTAAACCATATTATTGTTTGAACTTAGAAAATTTGGCTCCTTATAAATTCCAAAGTGACTGTAATTTCTTGAATTCTTCTGAATAAACGACTATGTATGTTTTAAGAATTTTAAGAGGTCTCTTCAAAAAACAATTGTTGAGTGCCCAGAGGAGTGGCAGCCAGGACTATAGATCACTAGCCAGGACCACATCTTCTCCTAAGTGGTCTCAGGGACTCAAAGTGGCATGCGACGTCCCAGAAAAAATATGTTAGGCCAACCAGATGGTGCTCGACAAAGTACAAAGGCCATCGTGTGTGTCTCACATTTGAGGTACGTCATGTGGACCACGGGGAAAGACCACATGCCCACGGCCACCCTGGAGTGGACTTAGAGATGGCCATCCATGTGGCTGGCTGGGCCCAGGCAGGACTCGGCTGGCCACCCCGGTTGCTGTGGGAGGCAGGGGTGTGGAGGGAACCTCAGGGAGGCAGCTGGCAGAGCCAGTGGCTGATGGGCTGGGCTGGAGGCTGCTGCCAAGGAAGTGTCCCGTCCCTGTCCGTTACCTTTGACTTTGACCTCATGAAAGGAAATCCCACACTGCATTTGAGGAAGTCCAATTCTAGCAGTTCACAGGAAATGCCCATTTCCTCCTGAAAGACAAAAAAGCATCAACAGATGGGCTGGATGCACCAAGACAGCTGTGTATGGAAGGAGTCCCAGGGAGGCAAATCCAGACTTTAGCAGACATGGTTCTTCTCTGGGAAAGTTCTCAGACAACGGCCACTTGGCTGCACTGGAATGAGGAACCCCTGCCAGGCCAAGTCACTCGTCCTCCTCTGACTGCACACCTCCCCACTCCTTTGACAGAGGTTCCCTGGGAAGACAAGTGCAGAGGACAAAACCACTCTTCATTCTTAACCAACCCTTTGGTTCCAAACCCTGATGTTCTCCCAGTGAGATGGGCCAGGCCATTTGTGAGCTGGATGTCTCCTTAGGTTTGGATTCAAAGGCATCCAAGTCACCTTTCTGACCCCTTTCTCCTATGAAGTGAAGTGAAGTGAAGTCGCTCAGTCGTGTCTGACTCTTTGCGACCCCATGGACTGTAGCCTACTGTGCTCCTCCATCCATGGGATTTTCCAGGCAAGAGTACTGGGGTGGGGTGCCATTTCCTTCTCCAATGCCCACACCCTAATCCTGTCTCTCAAGATCTTAGCTGAGGAAAGACAAATGCTGAGAAAATCACACCAGGGAAAACACAGGGATGTTTTTCACAGTCTGAATCAGTGAGGGCTGAACTGTCTCCCCAACAAGCCTTGCCAGAGTTGGGGGTGGGGGCAAGGAACAGGAGGGAGTTCCGAGAGTCGCTGGCCTGGGCTGGACGCTGCAGACAGAGGCACTAGGAAACCAGGGGAGGCGCCATGCAGAGCCGCCATCTTTCCACCTGCACCCATGGCTTACAACCAAGGTCAGAGGAAAGCAGGAGGCTCTTCACAACCCAGGGCCTCTCTGAGTCACTGAGGCCAAATCAAGACTTCTGATTAAGTGGAAGGGAGTTCTTGAAGTGCTGGGGTTTATTATGAAAAGTTGCTTAATGATTTATGTACTTTTCTCCATTTTCTAAATATCAATAAAACTTTATTTATAAAATAGCAACAAAACAACAGCAATACAAACAACCCAAAATAAAAGGAAGCAAAAGATAGAGGAGATATATAAATGTAAAGGGAAACTAGAGCTTATCTTTCAGTATCCGGTCTAGATATCCAGTGGGGATAACTGACCTCAGTGATCTTAAAGTCTCCTGATGGTTCTCCATGTCCTTAGTCCGCATCTCTCATGCAGTGGGTGTGGGCCCTCCTGCGTTAGAACTGGTTTGGGAGCTTTCTTTAAAAATATAGATTCATGGGCCACACCCAGTGGTCTGAGTAGAAAATTGAGTAGCCTCTGAGTAGACTCTGAGATTGTGGGGCCTGAGATAAGCACTTTCAATACATGATTAGGTGATACAGTAAGCGTTCTGCTCCACAATGATTTGGGAGCCATTGCTATGAGATCTCCATTCTCTGGTCCATTCTACAGGCTGCTTAAGAAATCTTCTTAAAATGCCTTTCTCTATTGTGAACAGAATAAAGCTCAAATTCTTAACTCTGGCATCCAATTGGTCCCTACCTTTCTGAATACATATATCACTGTTCTACAAATACCCTTTTCTTGGTATCATTTTCACACCTTTTGTCTAAGTTGTTTCCACTATCAGGAACACCTTTCTTTAGCTATTCCTCCAAGGTTTTCTTCTCCCATCTTGCCCCAACACTAATGGGTGATAAGTTGGCATATATAATATGGACATGGAACAGGATTTGGAATGGACCCCAAGCATGGACTCCCATGATCAGCACTGAGGATACAGGTCCGAAATTACTCTGGAACAGAGGAGCCCTCTGTTTAGTTGACTTTGATCTAAGACTGCTTCTGATTATCTGAGAGTTGCTGAACTACCTTAATTTTGTTAATTTCAAAAATGCAAGAAAATAACATTAGTCCAGCATTTATTGCCTTATTCCAAGTCTCTCTTCCACCCTACGCAGTCTAACAGAAATGAAAATTCTAGCTGGATATTGAGGTGGAGAATAAGCAAAAAGAGTGAAAACCAAAGACTTCTGTAGGAATGAGAGTGCTCAGCATATGCTCAGGACTCAAACACTCTTGGATGGTGTCACAGGGAGGAATGTCACGGATCATCCTTCTGTGCCTGCCAGCACCAGCCCAGCCCTCCCGTGGCTGTGTAAGTCCTCTTGACTGAAAGGTTTTAATCCTATTCTCCACTCTCCACTGCAGCAATTAGGGAAAGAGCCTCCTCTTCCCCCTCCCACCCTCAGAGCATGGGCTTCTGCATGTAGATGGTGCAGGTGCTGCACCCAGAACCCCTTTGCTAGATGGCTTCCAGTCCCTGGTTGAATGGGAACTGCTTTGTCTGGGAGGTTATAACATCCTTCCTCTTCAGCCTATGATTGACATGGGTGCAGAAGGCCGCCCCTTTGCCTCAAGGTGAGACCAGTTGTGCTGTGAGGCTCATGTTCCAGAGCCCCCACTGGAACAGGCTGAGAGCACATCCCTGTTTGCCTGTGTCCTCTGCCCCAGGCTGCTCCCTTATTCCTCTTCTCCCAAGAGCATTTCCGTACTAAATCACTTGCACAGGAATCCCCATCTCAGGTTCTGCTTCAGCGAACCTGACCTCAGACAATACTCTTTACAGATGAGGCTGCTGGTACCAAGAGCTTCTGGAAAGTGCTGGGCATTTGTTCCCAGGTGGGGAGAGGCAACAGAACGGGAACCCTCACATGCTAATGAATGTTGTTCAAATTCATACCCACCAAAGGAAGACTTTCTAACTGCAGGTTATGTGGCTGCCCCCTTTAGGGGAGCACTTCACTTTAAAGCCCATCAGCACCTCCTTTGCTCCAGTTTTAGATCCAGCCTGGGCCATGATCTTAAAAAACAGGGTCATTATGAAGCCAGGTACCAGACCCCCCCAGCCCCCTCCCTGTAGTCAGGCAGGTACCCTGTAGGCACAAGAAGTCTCAGGGAAAATTTAAAAATGTATTTGGGGTGATATGGCTAAACTAAGCCTGGTTTCAGACAGCATCAGGAATAGTGATCTAGTTGGGGAGAGAATGCTTATTACCTCTGCCAGGCACTTGGTAACCACCAGGGGGTACATGAAGAGATTCTAGGGGCCACAGTTCTCCTTGGCTCTGACCCGTTTCATGTTCCAACCATTGCTCACATTGGAGAACTTCACCTTCAGCACTACTGCAAGACTTATGATGAAGAGCTCTCAGCTAATGGGGAATGTGGATCAGGGAACTGTCTACCCGTTGTCCCTGATTGCCAGACAATGTAGAATCTGATTACTCAATTCAAATGCACTGAAATCTACTCAAATCTTGTTGTAAAGCCGCAGGCTTTCATGAAATCAATGAAAGTGATGCACAGAAACTGCTCAAACCACTTAAAGTCTCTGATATATCTAGATCTGATGGAATTACTTAACAGTTAAAAAAGTCAAAATTATCCTTGGATGATAACACTTTAAGATGTTTTGAAAGATAAGGATTTAAAATTAAAAGATCAAGAGAAGCCTTTCGGGGAAAATACACCATCATAAAAACAACCTTTTTGTGACTGTCCTCAAAAAAACAAACAAAAAAAATGGCAAAATAGGAAGTAAAGAATGTTATCTTATGATATAACAGGAATAGTCACATCCAAAAGCTGCCTATCTAGGGACTCCCCTGGTGGTCTAGTGGCTAAAAGGCCCCACACTCCCAATGCAGGGGGCCTGGGTTCAACCCCTGGTCAGAGAACTAGATCCTACATGCCGCAACTAAGACGTGGCACAGCCAAATAAATAAATATTTTAAAACAAAAACAAAAGCTGCCTATCCAGCACTCAGTTACTTCTTCTGTTTCAGAAATTAATGCACTTCTATTTTAAACATGCTAATAAAGCAAATAGGCCTTTGCCTTGGGTCTAAGAAATCTTTGACTATTGTAATTACCCTGTTACAAGAGCTGTTAAGTGTAGGATAACATAAACTTATTTTCACAATCTTTAGTTTTATCTTTCAAGTAAAATCTCAATCAAAACTTAAAGAAAAAAATTTTACTATCAAGTTTTGGACCCTATTTTAAGAAGATTCACAAAACTAGCCTTTTTCCTAATCCCCACTTTTCATTGGCTTGCAGGGACACCCAATCCCATAAAATGCTATCAAGGTTTCTCCCTGGAGATTGATTCAGTTTAAATTTTTCTTTTTCTTTTTTAATAAGACCCATTACTCTCAGGGTCAGAAAAACATCAATTAATATTTTTTTAGGACACGAGATAAACGCATACTCGATTTGTGAACATTTGCTTCTGTATTCTCAGGACTGAGCACTCAGTAGTTCCTGAGTTTGCACTTAATACTTAAACAGGCCTTGACTCCTCAGGGATTCAGATGAAGGGGCTGCAAGAGGTAGCTTATTTGCTGGTCTGCCTGGCATGGGAGATGCTTGCCTTGGCAAAAACCCTCTCTTTTCCAGACATACCTCGGCCGTCCTGGCCCCCGGGAGCTTGGCCAGTGGAGCCAGGCTCCAGCCCTGCTTGTAATGTGCGGTGTGGTTGGCAGGAAGAATCAGATCTTGAAGTTAGTGAGCCTCCTAGGCCTTCAGGCTCTTTCCTCCCAATCACACAGCATTTGACTTTATTCTGGAGCCTCATTTTCTCTGACCACCAACACGGTGCCCTGTGGGAGCAGCAAATCCACAAATCTGGTCAGGGCTAATGCTTGGTGCCAGGGCGGGTGTGAAGTTTAACTTCCCATTTGCCACTTTCTCATGGGATTGTCAAACTGAGATGACCCTTCATGTTCTATGACTGAAGTTTGGTGTTCTTCTGAGACCTTATTCCTTTCTTCCAGACACACAAGGTGTGACCCCTGTGAGCTGGTAAGCTCTGTGTTAACTCAGTTAATAGAGAATTCAGGTGAATTTTGAAAGCACTTGATCCCAAATTCTCTAACTGAGAATTCAAAGGTGAGAGGGGATTCTCAATAACCTGGCCCAGTGAGTTAATAGAAAGAGTTTATTCCCAGGAAATACTCTA